CATTTCAACCTCTTTGGACGTTTACCTGTGTAAAGAGCCCTAAAAAGAGCAGCGCAGCAGTCAGCTCTCCCCACCCGAGGCTGAAGGTCAACAGACGATCGTGCTAAGCTTGCTAACTGTTCCACCCTCTGACTGCTGCAGGGGCGTGTCTTAGAGAGAGGCTTTTATACCAGAACACAGCCATTGTGACGAAACCGTGGAGAAGACACGTCACAGCGGAGAGCCATTAATCAATATGCAAATTAGCCTGCAGTACCACTGCTCTACCCATATGAGCAGCAAAAAGACGTTTTTAGACCAAATGTTACAGATTTGAACAAATACGCACAAAAACATCAAAATTAGCACAGAAACAGAACTATATAACATTTTAAACACATTCTAGACAGTTTATTAGCTAAAAAAAGTTAATTTTGGGGTAAGTTACTCTTTAAAGTCAGTATGTAAATAAACGAAGTATTACAAAGATCTGTTACCTTTAAAATTGTTTATTTTGCTGCATTTAATCATGAATACAACATACAGAACCCTATAAAAGTAGTGATAATTAAACAATATCAAAAACAAAAAGAACACATTGTCTCATATTTAACAAAAATATTATTTTGACATCTCTGACTTGCCAAATTTTATTTTCACTTTCGTAGTTTTATCTTCAACTACTTGTAATTTTAACTGTCTTATGTTCATTTACCAGCTTCTAGTAAAGATTCTGACGTTTCTGTAGATATCAAACATGTCTATGTTTAACAACTTAGAGTAATTAAAGTAGAAAACTGGGGCTTTGGACTCAAGAGATGAATGAACCAATCAATTGGCGGGCCGAACTTTGGTCACTCGTGGGCCGGATGTAGCCTGCGGGCTGCCAGTTGAATAGCCCTGATTTAGCACAATTTAAGCTAAAAGGTACAATGACTAAAACAGCTGCTAAACGTTAAAACCAGTAAAACCAGTAAAAACCAATAAATGTGTTGTTGAAAAAACTAAAGCTAAAAGGAGCAAAAAGCTTAAAAGCTAACTTCAGCTCAATTGTAGTTAAAAGCTAAAATAAGTAGATTACAAAACGAAAGCACTTATGCTGAAGTAGATTTTATACATTTATGAAGGAATTGATGAGATTTAAATATATATCTATGTGGATTTTTTTTGTAAATGAAGTTAAATGATTCAAAAAGTTACAAAAAACTAAAGTTATGGCACACTTCCTGTTCAAACTGAATGTTTTAAATTAATTAGAATAACACAAAGCATGCAGAAGTAGTGTGTTAAAATATGCAGAAGAAATGATAAACGGGAACAAGAGGAAATTATGACTTTTACATAAAATTCTTGCATATAAACTAAAAACCATGAAGTTTAGCAATCTAAAAAAAACGCTGTTATAGCTGCATTAAATTATTAAGTTTAAATGAAGTTTTTGTACCATTCTGCAGATACCATTTAATGCTAATCAATGCATGATGCAATCAAACATCTGTTTTAAAGGAAGCCTTGCTCATTTCATCAAACCCACAGTCTGCACATGTATACTTGATGTCATAGCAAAGAAAAAAAAAGTAGAAATCAGACTTAACTTCATTCAGTAGCTGCCTCATGCCTCATTAACTGTTGAGCCAACAGGAAATCTGCATCTGTTGGTCTCACTTACTCATACAGTGTTGTTCAAAGACAAGTTCTATTTTCGATTAAATGATTTGTTCAATTAAAGAAGACAGAGTTTACATCTGTGCAGCTCGGTAAAACATCCGTATACATGTACGTAAACATACATACATGCATACATACATACATACATACTGTGATATGGGGATAATGGATGAAAAGAGCGTGATTAAAAGAACATACAGCAGCAAGGTATGGACATATCAACTGGATGGAAAACATTTTAAAAGCAGTTGTTTGACCAAAATCTTTGTTAGTAGCTGTGTTTCCATTGACCATGAAAATGCGCAAATTAGAATTTCGAAAATAAATTTGCTCAATGGAAACACGTCAATTTCGAAAAAAAATTACGTTCTTAGACTAAATGTTTTTGCACTAGGATGAGGTGGTTTTTTGGTCGTATCGAAATTGGTGTTTTTCACAAAACTGCAATTGAA